CTATAGAGTAGCTTAATGACTTTATTACTCTTAACCCTTAGCTTTAAAGGCTAGGATTAATAAGGTATTTAGCTAATTTTAATAGAGAAAATAATTTCTTAAGAGAATTATTTTCTCTTAACTTTTCCCTAATTAAAGAATCTCTAGAAAAGACCTTTAAGCTAGATTATTTCTTTCTCTTATAGGCTTTTAAGAAGCTTATTTAAAAAGCTATAAGCCTTATAGCTTCTAATAAGATTCCTTTAAATACTCTCTTTAAGGTTAATTAATAAGATACCTTATAGCTAATAAAAAAGCCCTTTAGCTATAGGTATAAAAAGGCTATATAAAGCCGCTATGCTATAATAATAAAGTAGCTTCTAGTCTATACCTTCCGCTGCCTTAACCTAGAGCCTATAGAGAAGCTACCTTTTAAAGTAAGCTAGTAATAGCTAATTAGCTATAAGGCTCTCTCTAATAACCTTAATAACCTAAAAAAGGCCTAGCTCTTAGCTAGAGGTAATTTCTCTAACCCTAGGGTTATAGAGCTTTATAAAGGGTTAAAAGAGAGGACCTTAGCACTTTTTAGCTTAATCTTAGATTATTAGACTAAAAATAGCGAGTTTAATAGTATTATAGTCTCTTTTCTTATTATGCTTAGTATAACCCCTAATAGCTCTTAGCTAGGCTTTAAGACCTTTATCTTTTTTCTCTCTGCCTTAGTATTTATCTCTAGGCTACTTATCTTATAGGAAATAGCTAAAAAAAGAGATAAGGCTATCTAATAATATACTAAGCTTAATAGCTCTCTTTTAGAAGCTCGAGAAGCTAACCCTAGTTACTTTAAGCTAGTATAATAGCTCGTAACTAGGTATATACTAAATAGCTTAGCTAGGGCTAATATAACCCCTATATAGTTTATCCTTCGGCTGCATAGCTATGGAATAGCTACTAAGGCTAATATGGCCTAGCCCGGCTATATTAGCTAGGAAGGGGAGACTATTATAACGATCATAGGATTCCTAAGGGATAGGGTTCTAGAGGCTATTTATTATTTTAGCTTAATAATTAATAAAGAGGTTCTTAATATCTTATATATTCTTAGCATAGGTCTAGAAAAGATTGGTTATTTTATGCTCGATAATATTAAA